ATTTTATATTTTCCCCTTTCTTCTTAAAAGTAAAGAATAATAACTTCAGTTGAACTAAATTTTGAAGCTTTATATTATTAGCACTCGATGTGATTATTATTTTTATTTGCTAATTTTTTATTCTCACGTGACATTATAACAGGAAGGAATAAGATTTGTCATAGTTTAATGAAGGGAGCAAAAAAAAATTGAAAATAACATTTGATTTTTATTACTCGTAGGGTTGATAAATTCAAATTACTCGTCGTCTTGAATTTAGACCAACTCAAAACAAAATAAAATAGACCAACTCGAAGTTGTTTTTAGAACTTAGTAGATTTTCGTTTGCGATTTTTCATACATCAAACCAATGTCATCAAATCATGAAATACTTTAAGCAAGTTTTATTAAATTTTTATAGTATTTTTAGATTTTTCATTTCATGGTCTGATATTAATTTTAGAGACCATTTAGTAGTACTGAAATTAATTAAATTTGTTAAAATGGGTGAATTTCTGAGAGAAGTGGTTGAAGTAGTTGAATCTATTGGTTTATGGATAACGTTAACTTGAAATAATTTTATTAGTGAAATAAAGAAAATCATTATATGAAAAGTAACTAAAAATGATCATTTACAGTAACTTTCCTAAGAATAGCAAAAAAGATTAGAAAAAAGATATAGATAATTTTAAGCATAATTACAGAGGCTGTTAATAAATTGTATTTTTATATATTCAATATTGATCTCATATGAAAGATCACCAAAAATTATGAATTTTGATATATTTTTTGTAAAAATTGGAACAAAAATGAAAAAGTTATAATGTTTTAAAGAAAATTGGGTTTTTTTTATTGCTTGGGCCCCACCAGCTACAGCTCCTACTGGTGCTCCTTCCCTTCCATGGATAAGTTCGGCACTTCGGAGTAAAATTGGCCACGTGTCATTACAATACCAAATGAGTGAATTGAGGAGAGCTAGACACATAGGATTCATTAAGGGTAAAATTGTATTTTTATGAGCTGTTTATTTTCTTATATATAAATAGATATTCTCTAGAGTTACGTGCAAAAATCAGGGTTCACTTCTCTTATTTCGTTTTTTTTATTTAAATTTTCTTCTTTCCATGAAGTTATTCCTCATTGAAATTGTTTTTAAATAACTATCTTCTTATCTATACACGAGAGATTTAATTACAATTTTAATCCTGTAACTTCCGTGTGTTATCATTATTGGTCATGTAACTTAAATCACTTGCAAATTTAGCCGTGTAACTAATAAATTTTTATAATTCAAGGATTTTTTTACTGGAAAGTACACTTCCTGAAAGAGAAATCTGACGCCAACGACATCTTTTCCAGTATACTATCGCTGGAAAATGTAATTTGTAGGGGAAAAGTATTTAAATCACAAATATAAGGACTAAATTTGCAAATGAATAAAGTTAGAGGACTACTAATGAAAGTGATAGAAAGTTATGCGACCGAAATTGCAAATTTTTCTCTATAAACTACACTGCTCCAACTTCATCTTCTTTTCAAAATCTGCCAACACATGAGTTGAGTAAGTAAGCTTTCTTTAACTTTGTTAATTAAATTTTTCTTTCAAGATTTCCTAATCCATTATTCCGCATCTATAAGTCAACTATTTTGTTCAAAGTTGTATTACTTTCATGCTTTTCATGCCTAGATGAAATTTTAAACATAATGTATGATTTTTTTATCGTAATGTATGATTTTTTAATAAATGGAATTTTAACAAATTTTTTAACAAATGAAATTTTAACCAGTATTTTGTGGTTCGTAGATTGTGGGCATGTCCCGGTAAAATGATTAAATTCATTTTAGTGATTTTACCTACCTCTAGCTTGTTAATGCAAACTCTATATTTTTAACAAATTGCCGGTTATTGGGTGTGTGTAAAGGGTAATAGGACATGTGGCTATGTGCAATTGTTTGATCCTTCTACATGTGATAGTCTGATAGATTGATGAAAGTCATTCCCGATTTGCTCAGAATAATGATTAATAAGTTACAAAAACCAAATGAAGATTTGCTACAAAAGCACAAATGGCTCGAGAGAAGTGCACTCAAATATTAACAAAAAGTTGTAGCATGGGAAGCAATTTGGAGCCGGTGATGTGTAACTCTTAGCGAAGTAATTTGGCCGCTTTGAATAATTTAGTTTGCAAAAATGATGTAGTTCTGCATATCTGAATATTGTATTTTGGAGTGATATTAGTATTAGTTTATACCTATTAGGCTATTAACGTTAAGATCTCTAAAGAAAAATGAACTGTCAACCTCTTCACAACTTCTAAAAATCTCAATATTTGCTGCAAAATATAACCATGTACAGTCAAATTTGAAACGGAATATATAATAGAGAGGAATAACAACAATACTTAACTCAAGAAAGCTTCTTGTACCTATTCGAATTTTAGTCATACTGATTAATTACCTAGAGAGCTCTTGCTTCTCTTTAAAACCTAGCGGCCGTCTCCCCTCTTTGCAGGGGTTGAGATTTTCCGCCACCCCTATCAATATAGGCAGTGGCGGACCCAGAAAGTCAGAGCCACGGGGTCCCTACTCTTGTGTATCTCTAATTAATAAAAAAATGATAAAAAAATACTCCGTATTAAAGAAGCATAACACTTCATAAATAATGTACACCATCAATACATGAAAATATTATATAGCAACAAATTACACGATCAGCCTCCAAAGATACAAAATCACCTGTTGTTCAGGTAGATTATCAGTTAAATTAGTTGCGCTTTCAGCAATTACTTGATCTAATTCTTTATTTATTTATGGCAAATCATTTGAATGAACACCTGAACTACTATCGGACTCTGAATTTGTTTAAATTTTAGTACAACAACAAAATATCTTTTCATCCTAAATCATATAATATTGAAAATAAAGTTTATAAATGCAAATATATTAATTTTTTTTTTTATTGAATCTTAACATTTAAAGAAAACTTTTTAATTAATCCAAAAAAAAATATGCAAATTCAAAGAGAACTGATAAAAAAAAGGTAAGTGAGTCCGCTAGTGGGCGTGGAGGGGTCACTGGTGGGCACGGCTGGTGTCAAAACGACGTTGTTAAAATCGTTTTGAACAAAAGAAAAATAAGAGCAGGAGGGAATCGAACATGGTACCTCACGTCATACAATAAGGCCTTCATCCTGCGCTTCCTCCCATTCTACTACTATGGTCTTTTGTTTCTTTGGTCGTTTTCATTGTATATATACATTCCCTAATTAATTTTAAATAAAATATATATTATATATAGGTAATTTTTTGAAGTCCACGGGGTCCCGGGACCCCGTGGGATCCTTAGTGGGTCCGCCTCTGAATATAGGGCTGGAGCGGCATATTATTCTAATTGCAAGTGTTCTTACGCTTGAGATTGCTACTATATCGAAGGATATAACTAATAGAATAAATATAGGGTTATTTATGTACTCTACATTAGACTCTCTTTACTATAAATATATCTGTCAGTGCTCCTTAGAGAGCATCATGTTTCATTATTTCACATGGTATCACGAGCACAGCTAAAAACCTAAAAAAAAAATCGCCTCTCTCTATTTCGGCGCCGCAAGATGTCATTCTCGACATCATCTTCCTCGGCTGCGATCAGCAGCTCAGCCGTGACCTCCACGACGGCAACCACAGCTCCTGCCGCATCTTCCGCAGCATTCAGCATGCCTATTACTCTTGGCGCTCCTCTTTCTTTTGGATCGCAGCCTAGTATCAGTTCCGTTCAGTCCGGCGTGTCATTCTCTTCCAATTTTGCTTCACCAAGTCAATCTACTGGGACGTACTCTCTCTTTCAGAATCTGCCGCCGGTCTTCCCTTGGTCAGCACCGACTCTAGCGCCAGAAGTTACCTTGGACCCGCCACCATTCTCGGCGGGCTCATTCGCGGGAACCACGTTTGTTGGCTCTCCGGGGGTGTCCTCTACCTTCCCAACCCCTCGGACTGTTGCTGGCAGTCCCTCCACGTCCCTCCTAGCCGAACTCGCCACCACTATCTCCCATGTGGCTACCAATGTTACCAATATTGTCACTACCAAGCTTCTTGCGGTTGATGATTATACTACGTGGAGGACCCAGTTTGAATCCTTTCTTGTTTCGCAAGCTCTTCTTGGCATGGTAGATGGCTCTATTCAGGTACCTCCCCCTTATTCCATAGATGTTCTAAATCGTCAATCTCCCAATCCCGAATTTTCAATTTGGCTATGCATTGATCAAACCATTCGTTCTTGGTTATTCGCAACACTATCTCGTGATGTTCTCATTGATGTTCGGGATTTAAAACATTCTTATCAAATTTGGGAGCGGTTAGAATCTCGATTTATGTCTGCCAGTTTAGCTAGATCTATGGAATTAAAGAGGTTGTTTTCTCAAATTAAAGAGAAACCTGAACAGTCCATGGATAATTATTTACGGGAGATAAAATCTTTATTTGATGATCTCGCTACTATTAATTGTCCCGTATCATCTCGTGAGTTGCTTAAGACTACCATTATGGGCTTGGGTCCGGAGTATGAATCATTGTTTACCACTGTCTCGTTGTTCCCTCACAATTTTCCGTTTGAAACACTCCGTAATCATCTACTTGAACAAGAACAACGAGTACTGTATCTCTGCTCCCTGGATTCTTCCTCCATGCATCAGGCTTTTGCAGCTTCTACCCCATATGCCGGTTCTCAAGATGGTCAGCAGCAGGCCGGGTCCCAGCAGACTCCTCAACCACCGGTCGGGCAGCAGCAACCCCGGTACTCGGCTCAGCAGCAGCAACCACCGCACGGTCGCGGTCGCGGGAGAGGTCGTGGTCGCGGTGGACGGGGTCGCGGACGAGGGCAGCAAGGGCACTTCATGCAGCCGGGGCAATTTGGTTACCAGCAACAGTTTGGCTATCCTCCACCAGCGCCTCACTTTTCTAATCCTGGAGGGGATGTTCAGCAGGCTTCGCTTGGCTACGCTCCACATGCAGGGGGTGTGATATCTACGGGTACTGTTATTTGTAATTCTGCTTTGTCACATTTAAATATTAATGCCTTACCTGCTTCGTTTACTAACATTAGTTCCACAGGCTCACCTTCAAACGGAAGTATACTTGGGGCAGTTCCCCATCCCGTTGTGTGTCAAATCTGTTTTTCTGCAGGTCATTCCGCCATCACTTGTCCATCTCGGTTTTCTCAGCCATCAACTCCAGCTCTGTTGACCACTCCTGGGGAATCTAATTCTGCCTTATGGTATCCTGACTCCGGAGCGTCTGCTCATATGACTGCATCTGAAGGTATTTTATTTAATAAATCTCCTTACAATGGCTATTACTCGGTTAGTGTTGCTAATGGTGCCCATTTACCAATTTGTCATGTTGGTGATGTTGCATTACCTTCTTCTGGTCGTCCTCTCACATTAAAATCTGTTTATCATGTGCCTCAGTTAAAATATAATTTAATTTCAATACAACGACTTTGCGCAGATAATAACTGTACTGTCGTTTTTTTATCAAATTTCTTTTGTGATTAAGGACAAAGCCTCGGGGGCAGTGCTTCTTCGAGCTACCAGTAGTGGACCACTCTATCCTATCAGCCTGCCATCATCTTCATCACCAGTTTTAGCTTCTATGTTAGCATCTGGCCCTGTGTGGCACCGTAGATTAGGTCATTATGGTGACAATATTTTACAGTTTCTCAAACACAAACAATTTTTATGTAGTCATTTGCCATTTACTCATGAGTGCGTGGCTTGTCGTTTAGGAAAATCACATCGTTTGCCCTTTATGGATGCTAGCCATTATTCTTCTTGTCCTCTTCAAATTATTCATTCTGATGTATGACAATCCCCTGTTCTTTCTAATTTGGGATTTAAATATTATGTCTGTTTTATTGATGATTACTCTCGTTTTACATGGATTTATCCAATGCGCCTGAAGAGTGAAGTTTTTATGCACTTTAAAAATTTTAAAGCCTTGGTTGAAAATCTTTTTAATCAGAAAATTAAAATTTTTCAAAGTGATGGAGGCGGTGAATTTGTTAATCATACTATGCAGCAATTTTTCTCATTAAATGGCATTTATTTTCAAAAATCTTGTCCCGATACGCTTCAACAAAATGGGGTTGCTGAACGCAAACATCGTCATCTCCTTGAATTGACTCGGACCATGCTTCTTGAAGCATCTATGCCGAATCAATACTGGGTAGATGCGCTTTTTACTGCTGCATATATTATTAACAGATTACCTTCTCCTACACTGAATGGTTTTTCTCCATACCAAAGACTTTTTCATCGTGTTCCTGACTATTCATTTATGCGGGTTTTTGGCTCAGCTTGCTACCCGAATTTTTCTGCCACTTCTGCTAACAAACTTTCACCTAGACCTATTCAATGTGTTTTTCTTGGCTATGCATCTGGGTATAAGGGCTATCGTTGTTTTGATCCTACCACAGGCCGCGTTTATGTCAGTCGTCATGTTAGGTTTCATGAGGATATTTATCCCTTCAAAACCCTCAACCCATCTAGTCCTCTTCCACCATCTCAGTCCACATCATTCCCGTTATCTCTAACTAATAGCTCTGTTGCCTCTACTTACCTACCTGGGACAAGTCATCATTCTTTATCACCGGTCTCTTCTCCCTCTTCCTCACCGTCTACTCCTCACGCCCACTAGCCTTCTGAATCTATCGCTACTGAATCCCAAAGCCTCTCCTTGCCTTCCTCCTCTGCTTACACTTCCCCGACCTCACCGGCTGTCAGTCCGGTCACCACCCACCAGACCGAGCCTACTCCAGCCAGTTCTCCTCCGCCCATAGTCTACTAGCCCGAGTTTCCCCAGGCCGAACCCACTGCCTCTACTTCCCCACCGGTTGTAACCACTACAGTTGGTAATATGCACCCCATGCAAACCCGCGCTAAGGCAGGAATTTTTAAACCTAAAACAATTTTTAATTTAAGTACAGTTGTCACTCATGCGGATTCTACTTGCTTTACTGAGGTCAATAAACATTTAAAATGGCGGGAGGCTATGGCTGATGAGTTTAATGCACTCATTAATAATAATACTTGGGATTTGGTGCCCTTTGACAGCACTAAGAACATTGTAGGTTGTAAGTGGATTTATAAAACCAAATATCATTCAGATGGGCCAGTTGAGCGCCATAAGGCTCGATTAGTTGCTCAAGGTTTTAATCAACAGGCAGATATTGATTTTTCTGAAACATTTAGTCCTGTTATTAAACCTACTACAGTTCGTATTGTTCTCACTTTGGCTGTTTCTTTTCGTTGGGCAATTCGCCAACTTGATGTTAAAAATGCGTTTTTACATGGTCATTTGACTGAGGAGGTATATATGCGTCAACCTCGTGGATTTATTCACCCTAATTTTCCTAATCATATGTGTCGTCTGCGCAAGGCTATTTATGGCCTTAAGCAAGCACCACGGGCATGGTTTCATAGGTTCAATAGTTTTCTTCTTCAGCATAATGTTTCTTGTAGTAAGGTTGATAATTCATTGTTCATTCTTCGCCAGAATAATAGTATTATTTATTTATTATTATATGTAGATGATATTATTATTACTGGCAATTCTGAGTCCACTATTACCCAGTTTATTTCTATTATTTCTAATCACTTTGCCATGAAGGATCTGGGTAATCTACATTATTTCTTGGGCATTGAGGCATCTCGTTCTTCTAAAGGTTTGTTTCTCTCTCAAAATAAATATGTTACCGATCTTCTGTCTCGGTTTCATCTGCATATGGCTAAACCCGTACGCACTCCTTTAGCGTCTCGTACTACTTTGTCTCTCTCTGACGGTGAGTTACTTGTGGATTCTACTGAGTATCGTAGCATGGGCGGTGCGTTACAGTATTTAACTTTGACACGGCCAGATGTTACTTATGCAGTACACTTAGTGTCTCAGTTCATGCATGCCCCTCGTACTACTCATCTTTTTGCAGTCAAAAGAATTTTCAGGTACTTGCAGGGCGCCCGTGATCATGGGTTGTGGCTTCAGCATTCAGATCGTCCAACGTGTATGCTAGCTTATTCTGATGCAGATTGGGCTGGATGTCCTGACAGCTCTCGCTCCACCACAGGTTTTGCTGTCTTTTTAGGTCCGAATTTAATCTCCTGGAAGTCTAAAAAGCAGCATATAGTGTCCAAATCCTCCACAGAAGCTGAGTATTGTGCTATTGCCTACGTTGTTCAAGATACACTTCACATCTGGTCTGTTCTGTTTGAGCTCGGTTATCCCATTACCGAACCTGTACACCTCTTGTGTGATAATATTTCCGCTTCATATTTGACTGCAAATCCTGTTCAGCATGCCCGAAGCAAACATATTCAGATTGATTATCACTTTGTTCGTGAACGTGTTGCTCATGGAGATCTCATTGTTAGACATGTTCCTAAACATCTTCAGCTGGCATATATTTTTACTAAAAGTCTCCCTAGTCAGTGTTTTCATTTTTTAAAGGACAACCTGCCAGGGCTCCTTAGAGAGCATCCTGTTTCATTATTTCACAATAACGTTGGCAAATAAACAGATTGTAGCTGAGAGTTTGTATCGGTGCTGGATCGTGAACCCTTGGTCGGCCGCTCCGGCGGTGGTGGAGTTGGTATTCACCCATATTGAAAGCTCGTCCCCCTCCGGAACCACCACCATACCAGGAACAGTTTTGTGGAAAGATTTTATTTCAATATTATTTTCTCTTTAGTAGTACTTGTTTTTGTTTTAGTCCGAGTAGATTTGGTTTGAATGTTTGAGTTTTTGAAGTTCTGTTGATAGGCAGAGTTTTCAGATCCGTTCGTTTTAGGCTTAAATTTGCCCGTTTCAGGTTTAACGAGTCAGGTTGCTTTGTACGAAGTGACTGATTTTATGTCTATTCCTAGGGTTCACGATTGGATCTGTAAAACTGTTTGAAGACTGTCTTGTAAGCGTTCTCCATTTTAATATAAAACCGCCTGTTTTACGATTTAAAAAAAAAACAATACTTAACTTACAAAAAAATATAATTATAATAATCTATATAATATATAAAAACAAAATAGTCAAGAGAAGTTTGGGCGGGAAAAGTGTGATTGACACGTGAGAGGAAACATAAACGCATAGTCTGAAATGTGAGAAACTTAACAAAACTCATTAATACAGATAAATAATGTAAAAATATCATTAATGTCGTTGGAAATGGCATTACAGAAGTAAAGAATGCTGAAAGACGGAAAAGCATTGGACTGCAGAGTTTGGCTACCAAAGTTAGTTGTCTCTTCGATATCCACAATACAAATGTGTGGTATGCACTATGTAGTTGTTTTATTTTACGTAATAAATTAAAGCTTTTGCTTTTGCCTTTTCGAATTCCAACGGTTTCAATTCGTCATTTAATATTTTTTTGTTTGCGACTAAAATTCTTGCAAGTTCATCTATATAAATCCTATCAAGGCATCAAGTTTGATCATCTTAAGCAGATATTCTCGCTGGTGTTCCATTGAATCAAACACTCCATATAACTTTCCAGGATGAGGATGCACGGCTTTGCATGTCAGATTAATGTTTATACTCAGAATTTGAAAAAAAAAACCTTCTAATTCTTCATTTGTTCATTTTTCAAGTTAGGGATTCTTCATCCGTGAAAATGAACTGCAAGTAGCACTTATATCCTCGCGGCTCACCATTACATCTGAACTGCAATTTAGAATGATTGTAACTTTTTCCGCACGCTCCTGTTCAATGTATTTGGATTAGTTGATTCTCTAGAAGTCTCTTTTTATCTCTGCAATTTTTCGATTTATGTTTGTTGCAGCAGGAGTAGAAATATCATTCGTACGATGTATTCTTCAAATAGATGAAAGGTAACTTGAAGTCTTGAACACCAAAAAGTTGGACCATAATATAGCAGTTCGTATGCAACTGTGAAACTTATACATATGTCATGCTAAACTTATTTTTCTTTTATTTGCATTTAATCCTTCTAAAAGTTAGTTAATTTGGTTAGCATTTAGTTATTCAAATGTGAAATACGAATCCTAACTCAGTTTTACCTTCTTTACTGTCAGGCTTGAAATCCCTATGTGAAGTCAATACAACTAAGGAACAAACTTTGGTTTTATTTAAATAGGTTTAAAGAAAGTAACCTGGATTCTTCTTTAAATTACTTTTTAAATTAATTAGCATTGACGAAAAAAACTTACCAAAGTTACCATTACTCTTTCAAAACACACAATGGGATTTTCATTTTAAAACAAAATCATGCTCCTATTTATGTTCATTTATTTGAAAAAAGAAACCTAGATACAGTACTATTTCAAAACACACTATTGCAGACCTACTGAATGTATGAGCTGTTGTATTGCCTGTACATTTTACGGAATTATATAGATATATGTTCAAATATATTTTTCTTGTTTAATAGTTATCTAATGGTATGCATGCTTGAGAATTGAACTTTTTACTTCCGTCATTATGAGAAGAGATACAAATCAGACATTAAGAATCAACCCTGAATTTTTCTTTGGTTTTAGAATGGTATTAAAGAAAGTAGCATGGTTTCTCATTGTTTTTTGAATCAGAATACAAATCAACAT